TAAACATCAGTTAAAATCTGCTAAAAAGTGTAAAAATGAAAATGAAAACAGCTAAAATGGTCTCTGGTTTTCTCTAGGACCCAAATTAAAGGTTTAGAGCTAGGTAAGCAAGCTGATATTTTTTTAATACAGTTTTGTATATGTTTATTAATTTATAATAATTTTTATTAAGCTATGACTTTTTAAAGATTTATTTTATTTATTTATTTGACAGACAGAGATCACAAGTAGGCAGAGAGGCAGGCAGAGAGAGAGGAGGAAGCAGGCTCCCTGCTGAGCAGAGAGCCCCATGCAGGGCTGGATCCCAGGATCCTGGGATCATGACCTGAGCCGAAGGCAGAGGCTTTAACCCACTGAGCCACCCAGGCACCCCTAAACTATGACATTTTATTTATCTGTGATGAGAGCAAAAGACAGGAAAATAAAGTCCCATGAAGCTTCATTTCTGAAATAAGTCCATTTTGGCAATCGGTGACAGAGCATTAAGGGTTGCATTCTGAGGTTGATGAAAGCGTCCTGGAGAAAAAGGACCCTGGAGCCATCCCACTCTTGCAAGGAACTGGGTTTGGTTGCCCAGGTGAGGGAGCAAGTTCTGTTATTGCCTGTTGCTCTGACTCAATACTCCTCCCCCATATGGCACTGAACTATAGAGAAAAGGTGCTGACCCATGAACATAAACGTTCTTTAACTTGGTACTTAGTGAGATTCCAGAACCATCGTCCCTTGTGAGTTTAGATGCTGTGGATTTATCCACTGAAACTCGATTTCCTCTGAAGTATTAAGCAAATGAAAGTTCCATGCTCATAGACTTGAAGACCTGACCATGAATCATAATGGCCACACCCAGGCCACTGGGAACTTCAGTGGCCAGCAGGTCTTCCACAGCTGATCTCCCTGCCTCCTTAGACAATTCATAAAAACTCTAAAGTTTTAGAGAGTAATGAAGAGTACCCTCTCAACTACATGATTCAAAATAACCACTTTTACTAAGTTCTTATCTAGTGCCAAGCACTGTTCTAAGCATCTTCTATTTATCTATGTTGTCTCGTTGCTGTGAGTAGATATGAGGTGGCTATCATTACATCCTCACTGGAGTGGACAGAGGTTGGAAACTTTGCCCCGGATCAAATGATGGATGATGGAGTGAGGATTCAGGTTCTGGCAGTATAACTCTGCAGCCTATGTTCTCAGTCACTGATTATCTTGCCTTATATTAAATATTGCCTACTAAGGTCCTTTGTTAGTAACTCTCTTATGCAATCACTCTATAAGAAGTTTGCCTTTTATTTAAAGCATCACAAACAACCTTTCAGCTAGACATGGAAATGATGTGGGAAGGCAGAATCTTGCACTGCTCACTCAAGCTGTATCTTCCCCACATCCAAGCATCTTCTTAGGTAGTGGTCAATTTCATGAAAAAGAATGGAGGTCAATAAACCATACAGGCATATATTAGATGTATGCTTTGACAATGAGAAAATAAGAAAAGCAAAGGGAGCTTTTTGTTTTAACCATATAACTGAACATTCTTCTTTCTGTCCCCATAGCCCATTTTAAATAGTAGATGAAAGACTAATAAAAATACAAATCTTTGGAAATAATGTTTTTAGGAACTCTATAAGGAAGTTGTTATTTGTTGACACAGGAAAGTTTATTTTCTTAAGCAGCTATATATCTATCTTTTAAATTTGGTTTTCCTTTAAAATTTGTACAAGAAAAATTTGTAGACTTTGAAGAAGTACACCTCGGAAAAAATTCCAAGTTCAGATAGCTTAAACTATGGCATACTGTTTTGAAGTATTTGAATTTTCAAGATAGAAAGTGATTACATACTTTCACACTAATCTATTAGCTTTATTAACATAAAGTCAGAGTAGGGGAAGGATGGAAGGACCTTGAGGAAAGGCAATAGTCAAGGACCATTGGTAACTGTAACATGCCTTTTTTTGTTGTTGTTGTTCTCACTCTTATTTTTTTTTAAGTATAATTAACATAGGATGTTATATTAGTTTCAGGTGTACAATATGATTCAAAAATTCTGTACATTTCTCAGTTCACATCAAGATAAGTGTATTCTTAAATCCCCTTTATCTCATTCATCTCCCACCTACCTTCCCTCTGGCAACCACCAGTTTGTTCTCTGAATTTAAAGTCTGTTTTTTCCGTTTGTCTCTTGTTTTATTTGTTCATTTGGTTTTTTCTTAAATTCCATGTATGACTGAAATCATTAGGTATTTGTCTGTCTTTGATTTACTTCACTTAGCATTATACCCTCTAGGTCCTTCCATGTTGTTGCATTATTTTTATAGCTGAGTAATATTCCATTGTATGTATGTATATATACATGATATATATATATATAATCTCATATCTTCTCTATCCATTCATCTATGAAGGGATACTTGATGCAATTCCTATCAAAAATACTAACAATATTTTTCACAGAACTAGAACAAATAATACTAAAATGTGTACGGAACCACAAAATAGCCCAAATAGCCAAAGTAATCTTGAGAAAGAAGAACAAAGCTGGAGTTATAACAATACAAGATTTCAAGATGTGCTACAAAAGCTATAGTCATCAAAACAGCAAGGTATTGGCACAAAAATAAGACACATAGATCAATGGAACAGAATCAGAGCCCAGAGATAAACCCATGCTTATATGGTCAATTAATCTTCATCATAGGAGGCAAGAATATACAATGGGGAAAAGGCAGTCTCTTCAACAAATGGTGTAGGGAAAAGAATGAAACCAGACAACTGTCTTATACCACACATACAAATAAACTCAAGTGGATTAAAGACTTAAATATGAGACCTGAAACCATAAAACTCCCAAAGAAAACACAGGCAGTAATTTCTTTGACATTGGCCATTGCACACGCTTTGGCTGTCCCTAAGGCTGTTGTGAACCTCATGAGGAAACAAGAGCTAGATTTCTGGTAATGCTAGGATTAAAACTGTTTCTCAAGTCCTTGACTGTGTCCTGAAAGGACTGCAATACAGAGGAAAGACACTGCAAAATTATAGAAAGTGTACTAGACAAATATATCTATTGTCTAATAGTCTCTTAATTCCAATTTTAATCAAACAGTGTTCGAACACTACTGTGTTCATTAGTCCACTTTCCGGTAATAAGATGTCAATAACGCTATTTTGTGGGGCACCTGACTGGCTCAGTCAGTGAAGCATGCAACTCTTGATCTTGGGATTGTGAGCTTGAGCCCCACACTGGGTGTAGAGATCACTTAAAAATAAAATCTTGGGGCACCTGGGTGGCTCAGTCGGTTAAGCATCTGACTGTTGACTTAGGCTCAGGTCATGATCTCAGGTCCTGGTGTGGAGCCCAACACTTAGCAGGGAGTCTGCGTGAGCCTCTTTCCCTCCCCCTTCTGCCCCCCCCCGAGTGTTCTCTCTGTCTCTCCCCCCTCAGTTAGATAGACAGATAAACAAAATCTTTCAAAAAAATAAAATAAAATCTTTTAAAAAATGCTATCTTGCAATAAAAAGTGGTAAGGCAAAAACAAGAGAATTTGGAATGTTTTAGGAGTATGTCCAAAGGCAGAACAACTAGAATGATGAAAATGTATCATGAACCACAATGACCGTCTATCTCTGCAAAGCTTTCCTAGACCTGGGCAGACAGATGCTTCTGCTGTCTTTGTTCCCAACTGTACTGAAGGATCATCCATAAGGAGTTACATAGAGTGTGTGTGTGTGTGTGTGTGTGTGTGTGCGCCCGTGTCAGAGTCTGAAGGAGTCCCATAATAACAGGTCTTATTTACTAGTGTTAACTATGTGCCAGGTACTGAAAATTTGATGTGCTTTATTTCATTTTAATTCCTACAACAACCAAAATGAATTGGACATTATAATTCGCACTGAAGAAATTTTTTTTTGAAAAGCTGAAATAACTCAGCCGCATTTGGCAACTGTGCCAAATAACACAGCTCATGAGAGGCAGAGCTGGGATGTAGCTCACGTTTGTAACCACAAAACTCCAGTGTTGTTGGGAAGGTCTTGCGCTAAGCTCAGCTTCCCTCAAACTATAAAATCCTGTGAGTCTACTGACTGACTATAAGCACTTTTTTATTTGCATTTTATTTGAAGAAAATGATACCAAATGTCTGTTTCAAAAGAAGTTCCCACACTGAAAACTGTCCAAGTTCATTTTCTATTTTTAACACAATCTTTCAGTAATTGATAAACCTTAAAGAAATAAGATAAAACCATGCTTTTAAAAGAGAGACGGCGGGGGGGGGCACCTGGGTGGCTCAGTGGGTTAAAGCCTCTGCCTTCGGCTCAGGTCATGATCCCAGGATGCTGGGATTGAGCCCCACATTGGGCTCTCTCCTCCGTGGGAAGCCTGCTTCCCTTCCTCTCTCTCTGCCTGACTCTCTGCCTACTTGTGATCTCTGTCTGTCAAATAAATAAATAGAAATCTTTAAAAAAAATTAAAAAAGAGAGACAGGGTTTCGTGTTGTAGGAAATGCATTACTCAAATATTGGGAATAGAAAAAGAGCATAAACCCACACTTTTCTCTCCATAGAACTGGAAAACACAAGACTTCTGATGTCCAAATGGTGGTCTTCAGACAACCTTCTACCCCCATCTAATAGCTATAGCATAAACTCTAGTTATCTTTGAAAACGCACTTGGATGATTAACATTAATGAGAGACAGGCAAATATAAATTTAAAATATTTAAAAGAACGAACCAAAACTATTTGCTCATTAACTAGGCTTATAAACATGCCATCCACATACTGGAAAAGCTAATAATTACTCTCTAATTGTACTAATTATGTAATGACAACATTATAAATGTTTGTTTATATAATGTTAGATTTCTCTAACTAATCTTATCATTAGTCAGACTTTGGACTTCTGCCACTGTGTACTCATGTATATACTGGTATGTGCCAAACTGTTTGAATAATTTATTTTTAAAACTGGTTGTTAATGTGCTACTATAATATTCAAATCAGAAACTTACCACATCCTTAGGAGGTGGTTCTGCTTCCTTCTTTATCTTTTTACCCATTCTGGAAAAAAGATGCCATAAATAGTTAAATAGGAGCACCTGGGTGGGTCAATTGATTAAGCATCTGACTCTTGATCTCAGCTCAGGTCTTGATCTCAGGGTTGTGAATTCAGGCCCCATGTTGGGCTCTAGGCTGGGAGTGGAGCCTGCTTTAAAAAAAAAAGTGTCATTTGTACATTGTTTATACAATGTACAAATCTATGTCACCTATGCCCTTAGAAAGAGATTTATTTCCTCATTTTAACTGTACATGAAAAGAGACTATGCTAATATGTTATTTCTACTAATATATGTAGAAATTATTGTACATGGACAAATATGTTACCTACATTCTTACTTCAAATTCTCAGTGTTTTTGGAATTTTTTGAGCATTAGTCCTGGCTTCCAGGTCGTAAGGAAGACAATTCATTAGAGACATAACTTTTACTTACATAACTGGGAATAGTTTACCATGCTTACAGTTCACTTAGAGGGCTTGGGAGACTAAATCCAAGTTACTTTTGAGATCTGCAAGAATGTTTCGCCACAAAAGGATGGATTTTGGTCTGCTTTCTCACACTGATCTATCCCGAGAGTATCTGGTGCACACGAGGCATTCGATATTTATAAAAATCATTAACTGTTTTTCCTGGGAGTATGATTTTATGTATGATACCCAAGACATACCAATACTAAACTAACATTGGTGTCATTTTCCCAGATAACCAGAAGTTTTCTCTAATATAACCCATAGTGCAATAAAAAAAGTAACTGAGAATGTGAAGAGTTGTATACTAGGGAAATTGGGACTACTGCTTGCAAGACCCTTTTCCACCTCGCATGTCCTTGACTGTGCAGGAAAAACGTCAAGAGCATTGTTAGTCACAGTTGATACACCACAGAGGAGTAACTCCACTTGGGTACAGAGGACTTTCCCGATGTTGATGACTGCCGGAATAACCCCAGAAATCTTTTGAATCTTCTCCCATGAGAGTTTGTGGGGTTATGCTTGGCATTTGTGCAATCGCAGATGGTATAAACTAGTCTTGAGGAAATTACTATAGTTTCCAGAGAAATTCTGGGAAGTGAAAAATCCTTGGAGAGAATCTACAATGTCAGAGTTAGTTCAGATAGTCTATCAAGATACAACTGCAACTCCTAGCATTAGGGACACTGACCCTAATTTATCACATATTTTAAAAAGCCATGTGTTCCTAAAAAAACTCCTAGGGACTTCTGAAAGACATCCCTAAGCTCAGGTCACATAAATTTCAAGATCTTTGAGGGTCTGGGCAAGTTTGTGCTGTGATGCACTACCTCACATTATATCCAATATATTGAACATTAAAATGCACCCACATTCTCCATTAAATACAATTTTTGTCTTAAAAAGTTTTGAAATTAGCATTTGAAATTATTCAGCAGTTTGTGCACCTGGAAATTCTTACAAAATGAGAAAACTTTTCAAATGTAACTTAATAAAAAAATTTAACATTAGTTTTTCAATTTTCTTTTCAGATTTTAGAGGCAATATTTTTTTTCAAAATTCAAACATCTTTCATAGATGCTTAACAAGCACAAAGACCCTAGGCTTTGTGTCTATACTATTCCAAGCAGATGCACAGAAACTATTCTGGGCAAATGAAAATCTATCCTACGACTAATCTCTAGGAAAAAGAGACTTCACAGCTCTTTGCAACCAATTCCAAGATACAGCAGCCTTTGATTTACATAAGAACTGCTTCTGAATAATGTTTGAGAACTGAATTACACCTGTGCAAAATTACTGTAGGTCATCTGATTTTTCACTCAGGAAGTCTTTCTCCCATTTTAAGATAGTGGCTTTGAATAATTGCATATTGAAGAGTGTAGAGGTTGGAATGGCCTTAACACAGGATTATAGCAATGGAGCTGTTCCTACGCAATACCATGAAGTAGGAAGCATTTAGTGTGTGTTTTTATTGCCATCTTGAGCATAACAGTTAATGCAGGAGGAGGTATACTGACACAGAGCCAGAGGCAATAAGCCTCAAAGATAATCCTAAGGTGTTTTTTTTTAACTTTGTAAATTCAACATTTCACTTAAAATCAACATGCTACAACCAAATTACCTTCTATTATTTTATTCTTTAAAAATCTGTTTTCCTTTAAAGCTTCAGAGATGTCAAATTAAGAAAATAAATCCTTTCTACTGAAGCAAACCTGCTTTCCTTGACTATTTTACCACCTGCCCACTGATGACTTTTATTGTGCTAAAATAAACATACTATAAAATTTGCGATTTTAATCATGTTTAAGTGTATAGCTCTGTGTCTACTGTCTACTTTAAAAGGTAATACATTTCATTACAGAAAATTTGGAAAACAAGGAAGGGCACTTGGATTTAAAAAAAAAAAATCACTCAGGAAAAAACTCAGGGAGATCAGCACTATTTCAATATAGTTCCTTTTTCCGTGTGTTTTCTACAGTGATTTTACCAGCCTACCTGGATTTCTAGCCCTTATTCTCAACTTCCTAATATAGTAGGAAAATGGAACCATTTTCCTACTATATTAAACTGATGGACAAGTTTAAGAGAGTTCATTCTCCATTTATTGCTCCAATCATCTCCAATGAATCAGCATATCATGTCATTTAAAATAATACTGTAAAGTCCACTATTTATCTGGACAGTCCCCTATTGCTGAGCACTTGTTTCCAACTTCCTGAAATTATGGGTAAGTCTGCAATGAACATCTTTAAACCTAAAATGTTCATCCACATTCTGCAACTGTTTCTCTAAGATAAAGGAAAATAACTGGATGAAAAGGCATGAACTTCACGGCCTTGGGTACGAAAACAAATCTGCTTTAAATGTGCATCTTCCCGATTATTAGAGAGGCGCCACATTTCCCCCCGCAAATGTACCAATCATTTGTACTTCTTGGTGAACTTTCAGACTACACGACTTTAAATTTTAGCCTATGGGGAGATTTTTTTTTTTTTGAGAAAACTTACGGGAAGGAGGAAGGCTAGAACAAATGGGGACTCGCTTCTTGATTAGCTGAGAGTCAAGTAGCGGAATCTTAGACCCTCAGATGCCCTCTCCGGGCCTCAGTTTTGTCACCTGTTAAATGGCAGACAGCGGGATGCTTAGGAAGCCCACCCCGACCCCCGTCTAATACTGCGGGCATTGAGCAGGGACCGACAACCCCCCCCCCGCCGCAAGGTGTCCGTTCATTCCCACAGGTGGCGCAGATGTCCCCACCCGCGGGGCACCTTCTCCTTGCCCAAGTTCTGCTGGGACCTTGGCCCTGGGCCTCTCCAAACCGCGGGAGTAGCTGCTCAGCCGCACTCCTGCGTTTACCTGCCAGGAGATCCCTCAAAGCCGAGGCTCCTCGGACCTGGAGAACTGCAACCGCCGCGGCTAGCGCGCGCCTCCTAGGCCACTGTTGTTCTTGGTTGCTAGGCGACACCGGGCCGCGGCTGCGCGCGCAGCCGAGCGCGCGCCTCCGCCCAGGAAGCTCGCGCTCGGCAGCCAGAGGAACTCATTGTCCCGCCTTAAGAAAGCGGTCCGTATGGAAGGAGCTCGGGCGTCCTCTGCTCCCAGAGTCCACTGCTTTGAGGCAGGATAGACGGGAGAATCCTCCACTTCCTAGTAGTTGCCGGCGAGCGCAGGTGCAAACTGTAAATCAGCAGGCATGCGGCCTCAGCTTCTCGCCTGCGGACTGGTTCTGGATTCACAAACTCGGAGATGCTACCGCTTTCTCCCCAGGACAGGGCTGGCAAGAATCCTGGGATGACTTACAAATCTCTACTTTCTGTCCGGACTCCACGAAGCCGCAGACCTGCAGGGCCCACACCCCCTGCGTGCATTAGGGTGTCTAGTCTGCCCTCCCAGAACTTATCTTGGCCCTTCAAAATCTCCCCTTCCGCCTTTCTTTCCTCTTTATGCCATTCTTCCCAATGGCCTAGACCTACGTTTCCCTTCTTCGTCTTCCACCCTCCCCTCCAATCAGCAGTTAAGGCAACTGGTCCTCTTCATTTTGCCTTGTATTCATTCAAAAATACTTATTAAGCATCTACTATTTGCCAGGTCATGTGCAACTTGTGTAATTCTTGGAACATTCTTTCATTTCTATTTAGTTAAGCCCAGCTCAAATGCCGTCTTCATAAAATACTCTTTGATTGGACCTTAGCAACAAACAAACAAAAATATCTCCCTCTCCTGAATTCCTATCACACTTTTTAAAACTCCATCCATTGCCTGCCTCTGCTGGTCCCCCAGCCCTAGGAGTGTTAGATGTTTCTTATAGTTGCTTCTTTCATATCCCTTTAGGTCCTTATATCACCTTTTAAATTACCTGATAAACAGCTTTATACATATTTAAGAATTTTTATATTAAATTTTCTATCAACTAACTTGTGATTTCTGTCTCCTGGTTGGAATTGGGCGTTAAAAAATACACTCCTGGGTCTTCAGCCTTTTCCCCTTCGATATAGAAATACTGTGAAGTCTCTCCTTTGCCTCATACAAAAAGCAGAAAAAAACAAAAACCTCCTTTCAACCTGTATTTCCTTCATTCCGTTTTTCTCTTTCTCTTCTTGACTATGAGTTTCCAAAACAGTAGCCTACATTTGATATTTCCACATGTATTAACTTCCATTCATTCTTCAAACCACAGTGATCTGGTTTAATCCCACTGCTAAAACTACTCCTATCCCTTGCCTGTTTCTTAGTTTTCATTCTCCCTGACATCACTGCTGCGTACAACTCTCTTGATAATACCTCATTCTTGAAACACCTTCCTTGGTTTCCTTGATACTACTTGTTCTTGATCTTCCTTCTTTTATGACCACCATTTAAGGTCTTTTCTATATAGACTTAAGTGTTGATATTTCCCAGGGTCCTGTCCCTGGTCCCTGGTCCCTTCCCATACTATATACTTTTCCAGGGTGATCTTTATTTTTGTGACTTCAACTGCCATATATATAGCTCCCAGCAGACTTCAATACTGAGCTCTAGGTTCACATATCCT